ATGAGTCCTGTGCATGGGGTGTGAGATTCCCAACTCCTGCTCCTCTGCATGGAGTATGGGATTCTCAACTCCTGCTCCTCTGCATAGTGTGTGAGATTCCCAACTCCTGCTCCTCTGCATGGAGTATGGGATTCTCAACTCCTGCTCCTCTGCATAGTGTGTGAGATTCCCAACTCCTGCTCCTCTGCATGGAGTATGGGATTCTCAACTCCTGCTCCTCTGCAGGCAGTGTGGACCTTGTCCCAGGGGATACCAGGCCCAGCTGTGAGTGGGCAGCAGGCTGGGTTGGCTCAGCCAGGCCTGAGGGACCTGGATCAAAGGACCTTCATCTTCATCTGGTGCCACAGCTCCTCCAGCCATGCAATCTGAATTTTTAACTCTTTGAAAAGTTAAGAAAAAGGATTTAGTAGATGAGCTTTGAAAATTCATTGTCATTTCCTCCTTCTTGCTCTCTCTGGCAGCCTCAGACTGCCATTAATTATGAGCAGTTCAGTTGTAAATGTCAGAATCGAATGCATAGCTCCTCACCAGGGAATCCATTTGTCAGTTTGATTTTAGGTCATTCCACAAGGGAATTTGTTATTTTTGCATTATTTCACTTTTTCCATGTGAGAGACCTTAATTGCTAAAGGAAAGCTTTTCCAATTAAAACTCAGCCCATTACTCACAGGAAACTGAATGTCTCTTTATTTACATGGAGACTGACTCCCCACCACAAAATAATCTCAATTACTCTGACTGTAACCCTTTCAAATCCTTTTGAATTTTTAATTTAACAACTCAGCCATTGTAATCTTTCCTCCCTGCAGAAAGTGTTCTCCCAGTCTGGAAAACAATATCTTCAGCTGTGGATTTCTTTTCATTGTGCTCTTTTAGAGCCTTCAAAATCATATTTTCTTGCCCATCATGATTGTCCTTTTCCATGGAGAACCAAATGAGCTTTTTTATGGTCCCTGTTGAGTTCTTCTGATGGAGAATCTGACACTGCAGGGACGCACACACTCATTTATTTGTCAAAAACAGGACAAGGAGCAGTGAGTTCCAGCACTGATCTGGGAATAAAGTTTATTAGGAAGTATATACTCCCTCAGCTGTCATTGATGTAAACCAGCAAAATTAATTAGGAGGTTTTCATGTACAAAAGCTCTTTTTTAATATCCAAGCCTCAAATATTAAATTCCTTTAAATAATGACAATGAAAAGGCTTCCTGGAATTTTCTAGGCTTTTATATAATGATACGGAATCATCAGGTCAGAAAGTCACTTCCTAGAGCATTGACAGTTAATCCCTAAAGCATTATGGAGTCAAAATGAGCACCAGCTACTTTTTGCTCCACAAGAGATTATTAAGAGAATGGACTTAATTGGTTTGG